ATGTTCTACAGTGATTTTTAGTAATAGCTTCTAATCTAGTTAATAATTAGTCAATAGCACGTGATCCATTTTCAATAAATACAAAACTTTTTGCTGAAGAACTAATCATATGTTTAATTTTTGGTTCTGGTTTTATCGTTGTTCAGATTGAAAAACATCAGGATGACGATTTATTAAAAATTATATCAGCAACTACTAGCAACATAGACCTTGCTGATTGGTAGAAAAAATGAGAGGAACTAACAAAAGTCAAACATGGGTTGCTGATTCAATAATTTATTTCTCTTCTATTATATACTGTATTTTAGAAAAAATTTATCTTTCTTTTTACTAATAGAAATTGTATCCTTTTAATATTATTCTGTGTTATATATTGACAATTTCCTTGTTTACTAGTGTGTGGGTGTGGGTGTAGATGTGAGTGTAATTGAAGGTAGTACTCACACCCACACCCTAATTTTCAATGTTCATGTCAATATTGTAGCAGAGGATCTCGTACATTGCAGACACAAATTGACGAATTAAATCGGCAAGTGTCTCATCTTCGTCAACGGCCAGCTCAAGCTTGGCTAAATTAGTAAGAATAACAATAGCGATCGTTATAATATTTTATTTTTCTTTGAAAAATGTCAGTAACGATCACAACTAATTTAGATGTGTATGATTGTATTCCTTTCAAACACATTGATACCGACATCCATATTCTAAATGATGTACGATTTCTTTTTTTTTGTGTACTCAAAAAGTGAGTACACTATAGAATCGGTCAGTATGTCCGGTCGTTTACACGATAACTTTCGAAAGGAGAGTCAGATCATGATGAAATTTTCTACACAGTTCCGTCTTAACAATGTCTCCGTCGAGTTCGAAGATGCGAAGGATCCGTCACGAAATGGCTGAGTTATCGAAAAAATTGTCATTATTGACCAGACCATCCCTNGTTTTTCGAATAGGGGGTGACGAAAATCTTCGAAAATTTTGGACAAAAAGGAGGTATCGAGGAAAACTTTTTATCAGCTATGACAGAGCAGATCACGGGCTATCTTCCCGTGCTGTTATCTCAATTTCGAAAAATTTGACGAAAATTGACTTTTTTTGAGGGGGGGGGGGCCTTAATAAATTCATTCCTTTTTTTATTCCAGGTGCATTTCAATATTGACGAAGACGTAAGATGAATTTGATAAAATCAGTAAAATCGTATTCTTTTTTGTTCTGGTTCATTCCAAGATTGAGAAAAAGGTAAGATCACTTTGATTATGTATAAATAAATATATTTGGTTTTTCATTCTAGATTCATTCCAAGATGTAATCAAGAGTGAATTCGATTTTAGAATAACTTTCTCACTCGTTGAATATTAGCAAGGTTCAATGCGCACGATTATTATGTATATACCGAGATTGAAGAGCGGTTAGCAAAGATTCGTTTTTTTTCTTCCTCAAGAACACCGGAGAGTTTACGATACTTTTATTACAAACTATTCAGGTTAGTCTGATCTAGTTATTCATGCACTCAAGCAGACTAATCTCAATACAAAATGCTCAAGTTTTGGTCAGTCTCCGTCGAAATTCTGCATGTTTTGAGCTTTTGATCCAGACTTACCAAGAGTTGGGCATTTTGTGCTCAGATTAGCCTGCTTGAGTGCATGAATAACTAGATCAGACTAATCTGAATAGTTTTTAATAAAAGTATCGTGAAGTCTCTGGTGTTCTCGTGGAAGAAAAAAACGAATCTTTGCTAACCGCTCTTCGATCTCGGTACATACCTAATAACCATGCGCATTGAACCTTATATCAAATTGTAAGAAGGGTTCAGGTGAAACTTAATGTGCGAAACCTTCTTTTAGTGTTTCTTTGGAAGGTTCGATACGCAACCTCATCTTCGTAACCTTTTGTTACTGTGCTTTTTGAAGGTTTGTTACGGATTCTTGTCTACAAAACCTTCATTTCAGTTGGATGAGAAAATTCTGCACGAAACCTCTGGTACGAAACCTTTTTTTTCAGTTATTTAAAACAGGTTTGGTACTAAACCTCTCTTTTTACGCGCTTTTCATGGTTTCACGTTTGACTGGGATGAGAAACAAAGCTGGTGCAACATGTGACCGCTCATTTGTTTGATCAGATGCAACATACATTTGCTAGGTCGTTGAAATGTATAAATGAAACATCGAGTAAGAATGAACGTAGGAAGCAGTTAATAGATTGGAATATATAGAAAATGCTACTGGAAAGGTCGTGATAACCATATCGATCAGGTCACTTTACGTTAACGGATAAAGGGTGATTCAAAATTTGTGACTCAATTTGAATAATGAATTTTTTGATAGTAAAATAGGCAGCTGTAAATTTCTCTTTATAAGTAAAAGATGCAATAAAACATGCTCTTCAAAAAGATAACCAATTAACTCCGCTACCACATAGAGTAAAAAAAATTTAGAAATTTAGAAATTTGCTTCGTAAAAAAAATAAAAATCAACTGTGAACCTTCTCTAAATCGTAGATATTTTTCTTGATAAAAAATTTTCATTACGTAAAAAATGTTTCTTCATCTTGAATGCTACATTCAAAATCTATCTAAATCGATGTTCATAAACTTGATTTGTATTCAACTATATCGCCTTTGTGCGACGAACATATCTTAGCTATCATTGCTTCACATGGTGCAAGTGTGCTTTTCCTTCATTCTGAATTAACACGACGAAGTAATGAAGACAGATTTTGAGATATTTTCCCTCCTGTTTTTTTTCATCATCCTCCGAAGGTTTTCAATTGGGTATACATCTACAACTTTGGCGTCTCTGTCATTTATTTCAATGCTGTGTTTAAAAAACTTATAAATGAATCGATATGAATTTGATTTGTTTGTTCTGAATCGTAATCATCTTGGAAAATGACTTTGTCGAAGTTTCCAATCATCTCAATAATTGCAGACATGTCTTCTACATGTAAAAATCTAGCTTCCAATCTACCAGTAAAATACATTCTTTTACATTGATAATTTCGATACTGATTTTTCTACCAGTCAGTAAATGTAATAGTACCATCTTGGGATCAAACATTTTTTGAAAATCGGACCCCAAAAATTGATATCACTGTGATGCTTTACTTTTTGCGCTTCTCTTAAATTTGCAAGAATTTTATTTGGGATTTTCATTACAAACTACATCATTTTTAGTAATTTGAAAACGTTCAATCGTAAATATCCTCGAAAAATCTGTGTTAAAATTTGGCCCATGATCATCGGGTCCAGTTTTTCATGTGCTACATTTTCTTATTAATCTTTGGTAACACCGACAATGAACCAAGATGATTTGCACCAACTCTTACCATTGATCGAGATCTTACATCTCGATTCATATGATGAGGATATGAATGAGTAAAGAGTGAATGAACAGTTCGAGTCGGACTTGACCAATAAAGATAGTGGTACGTGCCATGAACGCACTGGATACCAAACATTAATCTGCTCAACAAACTCTTTGTTGTTAGTCACGTACTTGCCCGTCGAAACGATGATGACAACAATGCCTCCACTAGCATCCTAGGTATGCATATTGTGAAGTGTTAATATGATGAAATCATTTCTCCAACGCTTTATGCGACCTCCTAGTTACTGAAATACGAGATTGGCCCAACAGCACTCGGTTACTCGAATACTACCATTGATTCAACGATAGCTAATGAAAAATAGATCGAAAATGGTGCGCTCGATGTCTAAGAGTCATGTACACAACGTTTTGACAAGCAAGATAGAAAGAAGCGGATAGCACTATCGACATGCGGCAAAATAATAAAATATGCTAGAGTTCTCGTGTGAAAAGCACCAGAGATAGAGAGAAAAAAGATTGTCTGCGCAAACGCGCAATCTCAGATGACCTTAAGCGACTTTTTATGATTGAGCCTTATTAAAAGACTACCGTTTTAGAATGTCACCCTCAAATGAGCGATATGAATTTCCATAATATAAGACCATGGTCTTCTATTGCGGAAGAGAGAGCGGTTAGTCCATATTGAGAAACCTCTGTAGCCAAAGTTTTAGACCAAACAAATGACCTTTCATCGAGATATGAGATTTTCAAAAAAAAACACTACTTTCAATTTTCTAAACAATCGCACAAGTTGTATGTCGCTTCTTTCTCAGCCATTTAATGATCAATTCTTTTGAACAGTGTCTCTTTCACAAGAACCAAAAAACAGAAGAAGATCAAAACATTTTTTTGTATCTCAGAGGTAAAGTTTAAAGTATCAAAATGTTCAAAAACTCTTTTAGGAAAACCCGAATTTTGGAGTTTTTGATCAAAATTGTGATGCTAGAGCTTTTATGGCGCAAATTTTATGAGCCTATCTTGTAGATAATTTATTTGGATGTGGATGTGGATGTGAGTGTTCCCTTCAGTAACATCCACACTCACACCCACCCAAATTGAAATTAGCCTTTTTTTCGCAAATCTCATATATCAGTAAATAATTGATTTGTTTGTTCTACAACTTTGGCTACAGATATTTATCGATATAGGCTATCGAATAGACATAGTTAAACTTGAATTTGAAATTTGATCGAGTTATGCAAGTTTTTGATGGATTGGTATGATGGAAAAAGGAAGAAAGGAAAAATATAGAAAAAAAATGAGGAAAAATATCGAAAGAGAAAAATATCGAATGAGAAAATAGCGAAAGGAAGAATATCGAATAGAAAAGAATAAATAGTCATAAGACGTCGCTATAAGATATGCATTAAACATTTCTTATTTGATTGGTTAGTTCATGCTATTAAAAGTGTTTACGTTTACTCTTTAAATGATGCATATGTAAATATGCGAATATAATAGATAAATCAATTTGCATGGATTAATAATTCTTTTTAGTACCTCATTAATAATGGTTCTACTGATGAAATTTCGATTAGTGATAGTTAATAGTTAAAGATATACGAATTGATTTTCAGATATGATGACTGCTCCTTCCAATAAAATATCATTTATTATTTCTCAGAAAGAAAAAAGATGCTGAATATAAACAATTTCATCTTTAAATTGAATAAGACAACGAGTACAACAAAATACTATCGATGTGAGGATTCACGTTGTACTGTTACTGCACGTACTGATCTTGAAGATAATATTTTGAACATTAAAGGTGATCATTGTCATCCACCTGAACCAGAAGAAATTCAAATTCGAGTGTTCAAACAAGTTGTCAAAGCCCGTGCTATAAGTGAAAGTACACCTATTCCACAAATTTATGACGAGGAAGCAGCCCGAATCGATTTATCAGCATTAGCAATTGCTGCTTTACCATCTCAGGGAGAACTTGGTGTGTAAACGCTTTATTTTCTTTCGCTTAAAGAATCAGTTTTTCAGGTAGTACATTAAATAAAGCACGTCGTCTTCAAACACCATCAATTCCTAATTCTCAGCTGTTTGATATATCTCAGTCTTATACTAAAACTTTGAAAAATTTACCTTTCCTTTATATCGATCAAATTATAAAAAGAAAAACTCGAATACTGGTATTTGCATCAGATGAACAACTAAAATTATTGTTCAATAGCTCCGTCATCTTGATGGATGGTACTTTCTCATCATCACCTTCGATTTTCGATCAAGTATATTGCATACATGCAATTAAATTTGAACAATGTGAATAAGAATTTTTTTTTTTAAATAAACTTTTAAATACTAGTGTATTTCGTAGCGTTTGTATGTGTTTTTGCTCTGTTGCCTGATCGAAAAAAACCTACATATAAATATTTATTTCATGAATTACGTAATAAAGCTGCTCAATTAAATATGACTTTTAATCCATGTACTATTATGTCAGATTTTGAAGGAACATTCGCTGAAATACTTAAAATTGAAGTACGTATTACTTTAGTTTAATTTGAACAAATACTATTATGTTGTCTTTCTAGTTTCCTAATAGTCAACATGTGGGCTGTTTCTTCCACTATACACAGGCGATCTATCGAAATATCCAACAACTTGGTTTATCTTCTGAATATGTTGCTGATGATGAATTTCGAAATAC